CTTACAGCGCCACCTTAGGGACAAAGGTACCTAGATACAGAATCTTGGTACAAAGAAGAAAAATAAAGAAAACAAAGTTTGAAAAGTTAAACATAACTGTATTTCTTTTTAGAAAGAAGGACTGCAAACAGTTGAATAGCACAGTCCATAAGTGCCTGGCCATGTGAGGCACACACTCCTCACAAGGGCTCGATGTCCCCCACTCAGCTTGGGCTTGGCCTTGCCCTGACATAGCCCTGGGCTGTTTGCTCTCACCACCTTGTAACCTGTTTCTGCTTCGACCACCACCTTGGGCTGCCAGCTCCCACTCTTGCCGCTGGCCGCCTTGGGCTACCTTCAAATTAGGAGCAGCTGCCTGCACCCACTGCCTGACTGATGACTGGCAGAGGCATGTAGCTTTGGTTTAACCTTTAATGAGATGCTGAGAGACCATTTGGTATGTGGGATTAATGATGTGACCATGCAAAGGCACCAACTAGCTGATGACTAACTGGACTTCGACAGGCACTACAACTGGCATTTATCATTGGAAAATGCGGCAAGTGGAGCATATGAGTTCTAGGGTGTTCCAGTGGAAGTGGACACCCTTGCCAGTCCAACTGAGCTTGGGGAACACCACTCGAATGAAACAATGCAATTGCCTTCACTCAGGACATATCCTGAACAGAGGGAGTTTAGATCAGTCCACAGCAAAACCCCAAAACAAAGCCAAGCCTTGGCCAAACAGTTCACATTTTCTTCAGAATCCAGGCCAGCCATTATAGTTGCTGCCAGTATGCAGACTCGAGATACTAGACTTAAATTGAGTAAGAGAACTCGTACGCCAGTATCTAAGAAAGTGCACACCCTGGAAAGCCCTTCTACATCTGGTTTGGAACAGTTAAATTGCTAAGGAAGTTTTAAATCAGAACCAATCAAAATAAACGTCTGGTTAATGGTCACCCGATTCTAATGGAGGTTAATACCGTCACTGCAATTTACTGATCACAGAACCAGTCTTTTTAACAAAATTCACTCTGGAGTCCAACCCTTAAATTGCACAAGACCTCAGCTGGGCTGAGAACCTATATTGGGAAAGCTTCACAGATGAAGGGTACAACTTTGGTTCTGGTCTCCTATGAAATATAACTGGTTCAGTTACCACTGATTGTAGTGAAAGGCTTGGGCCCAAGCTTGTTGGGCGAAATTGGTTGAGAAAGATTCAGCTCGATTGGCTCAATATTTTTTGATTAGGAAATGGCTGCCTGAGTGAAGCCCTAAGTAAATACCTGGACATTTTTCAGTTTTTCTAGGGACTATCAAAGGAGCCAAGGCCACTTTGCATGTTGACCAGGAAGCAATTCCACAGTTCTGCAAGGCCCACCTAGTGCCACTTGCCTTGTGGGCAAAAGTAGAGGCAGAAATCAGAAGGCTGAAAGTGAGGGAATCAAGTCCAGTTTGCGGTTTGTGATACTGATTGTGAAGCGTGATGGGTCGGTTTGCCTTTGTGGGGATTTTAAACAAACGGTAAACAGCTTTTCGCAACTGGATAAATTCCCAATCCCTCGCATACAGGATTCATATGCAATGCTGGCAGGGGGGCGGGCGGCTGTTCACGAAGCTAGACATGAGCCATGCGTACTTGCAATTGCAGTTAGTTAAGGATTTCCAAAAGTATGCTACAATTAATACCTGTAAGGGTTTGTAGCAATACACAAGACTGCCATTTGTGGTATTGTCAGCCTGTGCAATTTTTCAGTGGATGATGGGGAAAGTTTCTCAAGGTCTACCCCAGGTCACCATTTATCTAGATGATGTGCTAATAACAAGGAAGACCAATAAGGAACACTTGGAGAATTTGGACACAGCCCTTTGATGTTTCTCCTAGGCGGGTGTATGCCTTAGAAGGGAAAAACATCTGTTCCAAGCACCCCAAGTGACCTACTTGGCCTATAGAATCGACAAGACTGGGATACACTCGTTGGAAGATAGAGGGCAATCAAAGTTGCCCTGGCTCCTATGCCTGTACTGGAGCCTAGGTCTTTCCTTGGGCTGGTGAATCATTATGGAAAGTTCGTACACAATATGGCCTCCATCCTGGCAGCTTTTGCATCAACTCTTCTTTTTTAAAGAATAAAGGTCAGCCTTGGAAATGACTGCATAGCAGAGCCATAGCTTTCAGGGAAGTGAAGAAATGACTATTACCCTGTAAGGTGCTGGCACACTATATCAAGTCTTGGTATTGACATGAGATGTCTTCCTGTATGGCAATGGGGTGGTATTAGCACATTGATGACCCAATGGAGAGGAACACTCGATAGCGTATGCATCCAGGACTTGCGGCTAATGCAGAGCGTAAAATACGTCCTGATAGAGAAGAAAAATTTGGCGGTCATATTTGGAGTTAGGCAGTTACACCAGTAGCTTTATGGACATAAATTTGCAATAATAATAAACTACAAACCCTTGCTAGGCCTCCTTTAAAGAGGACAAGGCGGTGCCGCCCATAGCTTCCGGTTGAATTCAGCTGTGGGCTGTAATACTAAATGCATGTAATTACAAGTCAGAACACTGTCAAGGAGACCGAGTAGCAAATGCGGGTGCATTGAGCCGCCTCCTGCTGGCAGATACACCATCAGTGGTACCACTGCCGGAAGATTCTATAATGGTTTTAAATTTTCTGGAGAAAATTCATGGTCGGTCATGCTTCCAGTCACGGCTGACAGTATTGTAGAAAGATCCGGTCATGGCAACACTGAAACAGCTGGTGGTGATGGGGGAACCCAAAGTGCCGTCACAACCAGAATTGAAATCTTTGTGGACCTGGAGAGACCAAATCACAGTAGAGGAGGGCATACTTTTATGGGGAGCAAGAATGATTGTTCTGAGGAAAAGTCGCTGCCGGATCCTGGCTGAACTCCTCCAGGGTCATCCAGGGGTTTCCAAAATGAAGATGTTATGTCTGTTGGCGAGGATTGAATGCAGACATGGCAGCATTGGTGGGGTAGTGGCCATAGTGCCAACAAGGACAAAATTACCGCCAGCAGCTCCCCAACATTCGTGGGAATGGCCAAGTAAACCCTAGACTCGGTCACATGTCGACCTATGTAGGTCCTTTCACGGGCTGAATGTTTTTAGTTATTATGGACGCCTACTCAGAGGCTGGATATGCATAGAGCTCATTCTTGAAACATGGGTACAACAATAGAAAAACTGCATGCATCTATTGCAATACATAAACTCACTGAAGTATTAGTCACTGATAACAAGCCATCGTTTGCCAGCAGGGAATTTGAGTATTTCCTAAAGTTGAATGGTATTTTGACTTATAAAGACAGCTCAATGCCATCCATCATCCAGTGATTTGGCAGAAAGAGTTGTCCAAACCTTTTGACCGCGAGCTTTGAGAAATAGCCTACACCTTCACTAGATGCCAAAATGTCACAGTTATTGATTATAGGGCCACCCCTCATGCAACCACAGGGATACCTCCAGCAGAGTTGCTACTGGAGGAGAAGACTCCCCACCAAGTTAAATCTAATCTTCCCAGACCCGGTTGGGGGAGGGGGTTGTACGTGAAATGGCATCAGGAATGCCACTGCTGCTAAGTGAGAGAGAGAGACAGTTTACTTCAGGGAATGAAATTTGGTGTATGAATGATGGGAATGGCCCTGCATGGGTAAAAGGCATGGTCGATGCGAGGTCAGGTCCAGTGACATATTAAATTTGGGTAGATGCGACGATCCTGAACATGCATGTGGACCTTACGAAAGCTGCAAACTCGCAAACAGTGAGGGAGCAAAACATGCCTGGCTCCTCAACAGCCTTTCCAACTGTTCTGGAACCCATGGGTTCTCCTTCTCCATCAAGTATTGAAGATACCTCTGGAATCTGAGGTGGACACGGTGGATGTTGCCACCTTGATGCCTTTGCCACCTGAAGAAGAGAATGAATTTCTTCCTAGATGCTGTGGGTGCAAGAGGCGAGCTACTGTGTATTACACACCACCCGTATCAGAGGCAGAGTTGGAGGAATCTGACCTGGTGCTCAAATGGCCCAGGAGAAGCTTTAAAAAAAAAATCACGGGCCTCTGCCCTTGGGCTCGGAGGGTGAGGGATGTAGTGATTGTAGCAAGATCAGCCAGGTGGACCTCGCAGAATAAGGTTCCTGATTGGGACTTTTAATCTGTTCCAATCAGGGAGCCCTGGCTGACTGACAGATAAGAACAGAAGTGTCACACATCCTGTTCACTCAGAGTTGGCCTTCAGGGAGCTGGATCAGTGTCAACGACACTTCATGTGTAAATAAAGGGTGATGTGATGGTGGGAAATCAGCCTCTCTGCAGTTATTTCAGTCATAAAATAGATAAGACATTTCAAGCTTTGGGCAAGCAATGTTCTCACTTTAAACGCTTGTGCCAAATGATTTGGCTTCTTAGCTAGAGCAAAGCACAACTGGAACAGCAACTGCAGATCATAGACAGAAAAAGCCACTCATCTCAGTCAGAGTAAGAGTAAAACTTGAGTTGGTAACCTTATACATGCTAAAACAGATTGCAGTGTGTTACAGTACACTAAACTGTTAGTACAGGATCATGACAATATGTGTTCAGGTTTTGGAAGTCTTCCAGCAGAATGTCATTTTGAAGTCAATGAGAGTGTAAGGCCAGGTCAGATTCTTCGAAGGAAATGTCCAGCTGCTCTCAAGGCCAGCCTGAAAGTTGACATAGGTGAGCTGGATAAAAATGGAATAATCAAGATAATGACAACTATAGAGTGAATTATCAGCATCATAGCAGTGAAACAACCTCAAAGCTAATATAACCTTTGTTTTGGTGACCTTTTTGTGAAACTTAGTATAGGTGGCAACAGTTAGTAGACACTGAGATATAACTGCACTCCTGAATAAAACAAGTTTTAGAATACATCCAGTGTAATTCACTACTTGTAGGCCTGTATCATAAAATTGAATGTTTCTGTGGGTTTCTTATTTTGTAATTGCTGTTGTTTTCCCCCACACAGACCTACTCCATGTTCTTTGCAATATTTGAACAAGTATTGGTGACTATCTTTCTCTGGGAAATGTTGCTGAAATGGTACTATGGATTCTGGATATTCTGGAAGGTAAATACTGGCTCTTTTTTAGCAGATTTAGCAAAGATGAATAAGGAAAATGGTCTGGGACTGATTAGTGATTAGTCAGCATGAAGCTGTCACCTACAGTGATGATTGTACCAATCTCTTCCAGCATGCAGTGTTAGATATTCCTAACTTGGTGACAGGTGAGGTCAGAGTTTCATAATACATCTCTTTCATATATTTATTTAAGTGGACATTGTTGATAGATGTTGAAAAGAGGAAATTCTGGATATAGGGAGAAGGGAAAAGCTCTAAATTTGACTTCATTACAGCAAAAACAATTCACAGTTATGTAGAAAATTGGCAATGTGGATTGGATGGAAGTTGTAGAAATAAATTATCTTCAGGAATCCAATAGTATGCTGAAGAACTTTCTAAAGAAAATGGATGGGTACAGCCACTGAGGTGTTGGATATCTCAAGTGGTGCTTACATTCTTGTATCATTAAAGTATGTATATCCATATGTTCAGTATTTTCAAGTTGAACTCCACCAGTACAGTCCTTATAAGCATCTTGAATGCCAACCTGGACAAACTCCAAAACTGCGCTGTCTGTATTCTGTCCTGTGCTGCCGCACACCCTCTCTGCTTAATTTGACTTCGTGACACAGCACCTAATTGAAAGGCTGTCAACCACACAGAAATTCCTCTTCAGCTACATTACATCCTACTTTTACAGTCTCCTGAGGTTCTGTGTTTAGCTTATGATTTATAGTCATCTGAATCAAACCACTTGTGCACCTCCCCTTCCTGCCCCCACTTTTGTCTGTCGCGGCTTTCAGCAACTTGACTTCCGGGGGTAATTTTCCAGGTAAGTGTAAGGTTTTGTGTGCGTGTGGGAGTTAATTCCCTATAAGTGATATTGGGTTGGGATCTTGACGTAATCCTGCCGTCTTCCAGTTTCACTGTGAAGGTGAGCAGGAAACTCGCATGTAGCTGTTAAGTAATTTTATTTACTTGAGCCAATTAAGTATTGTTTTAACCTTCAGTCATAGATTTCCCAGGTAGGGCACCTGTTTCCTGACCAGTTAGCAGCTCACTAGAGTCATTTGATGTGATTGCACAGTGGGAAGACCACTGAACGTGGCTAGATGAGAGGCTGCTGTTCAGATAACTTCTCTGAGAGTATAATCAGGTGTTGCCAATTTCATAGAAGGCACTTCACCTTTTCAAGTCTCCTTTCACCTTTTATCTGCACTTGCTGGCTGCTATTCCTAGCCACAACATGGAAACTGCTTATTCAGTTCCATCTTCCATCTCTGATGGAGGACCAGAGGAGAAACACTGCAGTTACCATCAACTGTTGTCTCCTCAACCATGTGTCCCTTCATTAGGTCAAGGGGATTGATACTGAGATCCAGCTCAAAAGAGGCAAGAGTTCCAACACAAGCTTACAGCAAGAGGATTATGTCTTCTGATGTGTGAGCACCAGTGACTCAGACTCAGGTTTTCATAGCAGATCATTGTGACATCTGCAGTCTCTTATAACAAGACATTCTTCCCGATAAAGCAGGTGGGCACATATTGACAATGGCTGATTAAGTGCCTGTTACTGGAGAGTCGCCTCTACCCCACCTACTGGGTCTCTACCTCTTGCCAGGTTTTGTGCTCTCTTCTCGTGCAAGCAGAAATGTGGATAGGCAGGAAGAACACCATTCGTGGAGGACAACCACAAGGCAAGTGAGTGATGAGGCAGTTGAGTGAGGGTAAGTAAGAGTGTTAGCTTTTTCAGATGAGGCTGTGAAGAGGTGCCTCTAGAGAGAGGAATAGGTAGTTGTGGAAGATGTGTTACCCTAAGTGCTGTGGGGAAGTTAAATTGTGGGTGTGCCACTCACTTTTCACACTGTGAATTGGCTGCACATTTATCGCATTTTTTTGACCATTTTATAGGAACAGGAGTAGACTATTAGCTCATCAAACCTTCCCCATCATATAATATGATCATCGTTGACCAGACACTACAAAGCCTTTTTTCCACACTATCCTCGTATCCGTTTTCCGTCACTGATGATCAGGAATCTATCAATTTCTATTTTAAATATCCTCAAAGACTGAGCTTCCATAGCCATCTGGGGTAATGAATCCCAAAAATTCATAATCCTCTGAGTAAAAATCTTTCTCTTCATCTCACTCCTAAATGGCATTTCTTTTACTTTTAAATTGTACCCTCTGGCTCTAGACTCCCCAACTAGAGGAAACATATAACTTGTTTTAAGTATTTTGTAGGTTTCATTGAGATCACCTTTCATTATGATCACCTTTCATTATTCAAGGCTCCAGAGAATACAGGCTCAGTTTGCCAAATCTCTGTTTATTGGACAGTCTCACCTTCCTGGGAACAAGTCTGGTAAATCTTTGTTGCACTCCAATTTTGGCATTACTATCTCTCCTAAGGTAAGGAGACCAAATCTGCACACTGTACTCCAGGTATGGTCTTCCCAAGCTGCTATACAATTGAAACAAGATTTTGTTATTCCTGTACTCGAATTCTCTTGCAATGCAGGATGGCATCCCATTAGAGATAGTAGGAACTGCAGATGCTGGAGAATCTGAGATAACAAGGTGTGGAACTGGATGAACACAGCTGGAGTAGTATGTGTAGTTCTTGGCTACATGCTATAGGAAGGACGTGATTGCACTAGAAAGAGTGAAAAGGACATTCACCAGGATGTTGCAGGTGCTAGAGTGTTTCAACTTGACCTCCTTGACCGCTGAGGACCAAAGTACCAAGGCCTCAGAGGAAGCGCGGCAAGCTTGCCACCTACTTGAACACACACCTGCAGTGCCAGGTTTACGCTGTTGGGGAGCACAAGCCGGTGAGCACTTCCCTACAACAGCTTTACAGCTGGCCGAAGAAAAGCCTGGGACCGCTCACGTTCTGAGGACTAATAGTGTATTCTGAGGACTGTCGAAGACCAGGCAAGAGATGACCCATTGATGTCAACAATTGGAGAACTAGACCACATGCACAGGCAGGAGCTAGTGCAATTGAAAGGTATGAGAGACACAATGGCACACCTTTTCCAGAGGCTGCAGGTGTGCAGCTATACTATGGGGACCCAGCTGCCCAAAGCATGCTTTGATCTGGCTGTCTCCTTGGACAAGTTGCCAGGGGCCATGGAGAGACAGCTCCTTCAATCTCCGGATCTGCTGGATAAGTGCACAGACACAGACTCCATCACTCAAGCCATTGGTCCTCAGGGCAAAAGATATGGCGAGTAGGGGCACAAGGAAATGGCATGCACTCTGGGCATCCCTTCCTCACAAGGAGACCGGGCGATGCCATAAAGAACCCAGTGAGAGGAGGAGCCACACACAACCCCTCAGAAGTCTCCCCTTAGGACATTCCAAAGGTGGCTGGGCCCATCCGATCCTGGAAGTTCATGCTGAGGAGGCCTACTTGCCTAAGACGCTCAGCATGTCTGAGCCATCCAGAAACGAACAGCCCAGGGGTCACCTGACCAAACATCCACAGCCAATGGGCTCTATTTCAGCTGTGGAAGCTCAGTCAACACTAAGGCCAAATGGAAAGGAAAGAAGACAAAGCCTGTTGAGGTCACGTTGGCAAAGGAATATTGCATTTGTGTAAGTTTGATTTTGTACTACATCTGTTTAGTGCCTGTGTAACTCCCAATGTAACTGACAGCATGATGCCTAACTTAGGCATTGGTACATTATGTGTAGATGTGTTGAGTGTCTGCTGCAGCATCTGGAAGCAAGATAAATACTGTATTTATCATGCAATTGATTCTACTGACACTTTTTGCTGTCATGCTGAAACACGCCTATTCTTCCTCTGTTCTCTGCATCTGGAAGTGTTGGTGTGAATGAAATGGTCAGTAATGTCTGTGGGAAGGAGATGTGCAGCACACAGGAAGCCAATTTACGAGAATCACCAGGGATCAGAGGGTCCATAGGTCTGTATCCTGTAAAGTGCATGGATCTGTTGTAGTGGTGTTTCCCTCCTAAAAGGCCTCACATCAGTGGGTCTGACAGCCCTCTCCCTCAAAGATCAGGACACTTATCCTGTCCATTCCTGGTGTGGGTGCAGCCATTTTCTTCCCCATTACATACTTCTGATTTCTGTTGTGTTCTGGTAAACACTTCAGCCAGTACATTGCAACCTCCGTTTCATAGAATCGTGCAGTCTGTACCACCAAAAATATACTGCTACCTACACTAGCCCCACTTTGCACCAGGCCCATAGCCTTGAATTTTGATATTTCAAGTGCTCGTCGAAGAACTTATTAAAGATTGTGAGGTTTCCTCGTTCCCAGTGAGGCCCCAAGTGTTCAGAACCCCTTCCCTGTCACCCTTTGCATAAACCCCATCGGCTTTGCACCTCCCCAGGTCCTCACCCAAACCATCTACATGAATGTGCCTCCCCCCTCCCAGTTCCAGGTATTCAAGATGACCATGCCAGATGTGGTAACCTCCTTGAAGTTAAGATGCTCCTGACAGTGAACGAACACCCCTCTGGTATTACCCTTTTCCAATCAATGTTTTACCGTATCCTTCCAACTTCACAAATGTTATTCCCCTCCTCACCCCCAATCCCCCCTCAATAGTGACCCACCACCAGCAGACAACACACCCCACCATCCCCCCAGGTCTGAGAAGTGCTCCGAATACTGATGGATGATTTTATATCTCCCCGACCATGTTAGCCCAACTTCCAAGACTAGCAGCTATGGAGCCACAGGACTGACTGTGACTCAATCCCTGGACTGCAGAGGCATGGGTCATCTGATGAAGAGCACCCCAACGATGGCCAACATGCTGGACTGCTATTGAAGTTCGTTCTCTGTTTAATGTGCCAGGAATCCCAATTGACGGGAGCCTCTGTAAACTTTGGTGAGGACCACTCCCCTAATACTTAGTTATGGCTGCTTGTTTACAGTATGTTTGGCAAATTAGTTGCTGGCACATGGTGCAGGATCATAGAATCGTGCAGTACAGAAGAGGCCCTTTGGCTCATTAAGTCTGTACCACCAAAAATATGCTACTAACTACACTAGTCCCACTTTGCACCAGGCCCATAGCCTTGAATTTTGATATTTCAAGTGCTCATCTAAGTACTTATTAAAGATTGTGAGATTTCCTTGTTCCCAGGAAGTGCATTCCAGACCCCCACCACCACCTGGGCGAACAAAATGTTTCCACAAATCCCTTCCAAAACTCCTGGCTTTCCCTTTTAAGATTATGCCTTTTAGTATTGACCCTTGTACAAGGGGTACAGCTACTTTCTATTGACATTGTCTGTGCCAATATTACATTGATTTAGCACATTGTCCTATAGCAAGCTGACTGCCCCATTGCTGACCAAGTTGTTTGACTGTACTGATTGGCATGGCATGACAGTGCAAGGCATGGATGCTCTGAGCATGCACATAGGCACGAAGTAAGTGAGTGAGTGCTAAGAAAGCAAGTGAGCAAACCTTAGATGGTGCCTGTCCCTGTGCACAGTATCCTTGCAGCAGCCTTTCGATGCTGGTTTCTGGTGTGCCTAGCAATGTGGGTCTGTGCTTTCTATCTATCCTCCAAGTGGATTGTAAGGTTTGGCAAATGTAAGATGCCAGTGTCCATAGACAAGAGGTGCATGTGGATGATGTTTGTGGATCGTGACCTGAGATACCGTTTGATGCTGAGCAATGTGGAAGCTCCCTTGCAGCCAGTGGCGAGCTGTAGGCACCAGATATCCACTTGATTTTCATGTTGAGAATTCTTGATGTCTGGCGTGTTTAGTTTGATGGTAACAGAGGAAGCTGAATACAGTGAGGTGAGTTGTGCTGTTAAAAAGCATTTAACAAGCAGTTGGTCCTGACATCCAAATTGGCCTTTCTGACTTCTCCCGTGATTCTGCCAGAATCCATGTTGCTCAAGCTCTAATGAGATTCCATCCATTGTTATTCCAACCTGAGATTTTATTTTACTGATTCCACCATGTATTTTCAACACAGCTCCACCTTGTCTTCCTCCTTATCTGTCTCTCCAAAATGTCAAATATTCTTGAATATTTAATTTACAGTCCTGGTCACCATGCAGCCACCTTTATGTAATGGCAGTTATGTCATAACCATTTATCTCTGTTTTTAGATCATTTGTCTTGTTGCAAATGCGATATGGATTCAGGTAGAGATCCCTTTAATATTGTCTTTTTGATATTATTCTAACTTGAGCCATACTCAGTGCTCTGTTTTGTTACTCCTGTCTTCTATTCTCCCCAGCAGCTTTTCTATTTTCAGTTGCCAATTTTACTTCTTTCCAATTTGAATTACCCTTCAGGTTTCCATACCCTTAACATGATGATTTAAACCAACCCCAAACAGTACTAGCAAATGTTTCTGCGAGGATTTCAATCCCACACCTGTTAAGATGTAACCAGTCTGGCTTGTCTGGGTCCTGTGTGCCCAGAACTGGTCCCAATGACACACTTCCTACACTGGTTTTCCAGATACACATTCAGTTGATTGAAGTGAGGAACTTTGGGGAATTGGGAAGCAAATTAAAAAGCAAGACCTCGAAAGTAGTAATCTCAGGATTTCTTTTCAATTCACTCCAAGCTGACTTGGAAATATACTGCCATTCCTTCAGTGTCACTGAAATCCTGGAATTCCTTTCCTGATAGCAAATGGATTGAAGAGGTTCAAGAAAACAGCTCACCACCACCACCTCAAGGGCAACTACGGATGTGCATGTGAATGTTGGCCCAGCCAGTAACATCCATCTCCCATGAATGAATTTAAAAAATCCTGAAATAACTGCACTTGAGGCCCTGCTTTTTAATTTCCTTCCTAACACCCTGAAATCTGTCTTCAGGACTTCACCCCTCTTCCAACCTATGTTGTCAGTACCAATGTGGGCCGTGAGTTGTGTCTGATCCCCCTCCTCTAGAAGGATGCTCTGCAGTCATCCATACCTTCTTTTCCCCGCCACTAGGGAGGCCACACACAGTCATAGAGGTGTGTTTTATGCTGCGGAAATGCCTGTCTGATCCCCGACTCTGGAAACCCCTATGGCTGTGCTCTTCCAGTCATCATCCTGCTAACACATTCCTGCACTACCTGTTTGATTTAATTAAACTGCCTGGTAGCCACTCATTTCCCCCTCTGCTGTACAGTTGTAGCTGTATACTTCTTATACATGCTATTCATGTATATCTGTGAGGTAGAGGACTACAACAGTGATTCCAGCCACTGCTCAAATTCTGAAACATGGAACTCCCAGCTTGTGCTGCTGATGACACTTCCTGCAAATGTGCTTGGGTAAGAGCAAGCAATTAGTTAGAGAAGGGGACAGCCTTTCCAGGTGTGCTTTTCAGTCCACTGATTGCTACAGCCTGAAAAATCCAAATGCCTGTGAGCCCTTGTAAGCAGGTAATATTCTCTTTGATTAGAATGATTCAATAAAAGGCCTCAACCATCCCTGTCCTCCAATCAGTCCAACAGGAGCTAAGTGCAAAAAATTCAACTCTGCCCTCTGCAGCTCCATCCCTAAAATCCTTCTTCGCTCCCCGCTTGTCTTAAAAAAAAAACCCTTATCAACTGTACTTCAACCATGTCTCCTAATGTAAACTCACATCACTTAAATACGTAGGACTTGTTGCAACAAGAATGGAAAAAAAAAACCTGGGCTGGAGTCTCAGATGCTAGCAGGCATTAAAGGTCCACTGGTACAGTGTACTGCTAACTGGTGGGACGCAACAACTCCGTTGAAGTTTAGAACTGAAGTGCATAAAATGTCAGCTGGCTTTCTGCATCGTAAGTGAAATTAATTTTGCAGTCTCGGTCCTTTGGTTTTTAGGAAGAGACCTAGATGGCAACATCCTCTCAAACAGAAACAACTTAGAGAATCTCCCAGAGAGACCCATTTTTAAAACGGGTGTTCAAAGTCATTTCACAAAGAGAGGTCCTGACTGGTGTTCCACATACTAAGTCCCCATTTGGGCAAACTACCGCCCCTGAAAATCTGTGTTGGAGAAAAATTTGTGATCCCAGGTGCCCTTCTCCTTTATGTATTTGCCATGATTACTCTGGCCCTTTTAGGCCTACTTCCACTGGAGACTTAATGATCCACATGTTTTAGTTTTTCCCATAGTTCTGGTAGGTCAGTCTATTCAGGTGCATGTAAGAAATCCCACAGCATTTTCCAAAGAGCAACTGTCGATGCTGAACCCAATATGACAGAGATTGGATTAGAATTCCCTCCCTAAGGGCATTGAGTCAATCTACAGCATGTGGATTCAGTGGTTTAAGAAGGCAACTCACTACCACCTTCTCAAGGGTATCTAGGGACGGGCAATATATGCACATTCCATGGTGAATAAACATAAAAATAAAAATGAGTTGGTTTTCATTTATCTTGCTGCTTTTGGACCTTGCTGTTTAAAAACTGGCTTCCATTCTTTCTACATTACAGCAGTTACAACACTTCAGAAGTATTTCATTGACTGTGCAGTTCTTGAGACTGAGGTGTATTGAGATTGTGAAGAATGTTATAGAAATGCAAGTTCTCTTCTGTTTTTTTTGGCCTGACATTTTTCTAGGATGGCTGGAACATTGCAGATTTCCTCGTCACATCCGCCTTATTCATAGGTTCCACGACGTCATTCATGAGGAATCACGAGCTCTTTTATGTACTGAGGTAAGAGGACAATTTTAATCGAACTGTTGCTATTTCTGCACAGAAAAAAAAAAACTAAGCCATGGTTCATGAAAATCCTGAATAAACATGGGAAATTGTAGGATAAGTGCAGATATATCAGCATCTGAAAGGTAAAAGGGGTTTGGTCTTAGAACTCCAGTGAAACTCATTGGGTTAAGAACCTGTCATGATCCCACCCATACCTAGATGTCACTGTAGAGGTATGAGGGAAGCCCTGAGAATCTGTTGGTTACATATTTAACATATAAAAGAAGATAATTTGTATATTTAGCTGAGAGTTCGGACTTCAAAGGTCAGAGCTTAAGTTTCCCAAGCTGTGTGGAACTCACATGGTCAATCAGGTAAAAGTGCAGTGATAACCACAGCCAGTCAAACTGACTGGCAGGGAGACTTTCCACCTGTGAAACTGAATAGTGTCAGCTCTGCCTAGGTCAGGCTGGTGCACACAACATTTGAGGGTGTGCTTTCACTACTTAACTAGCAGGGGAGATACCATGGTTAACAAGGTGGTTCTCCCAGGACGTGTCTGAGCTGAGAACTTCCATCATCAAAAGATCTTGTTCATGACTGGATTGTGGTTATGAGCAGAGCTTGGTGGATCGTTGGTCAAACTGAGCTGAAAATGGTAAATCTTTATGCTGGTTTTGGCCTAATGCCAATTCAGTGACCAGCCAACCAGACCCATGGCCTCTGCTTGTGCCCATGCCCCGGGCTGGGGGGTCCACAATACAGTCAGGGTGACTGAGAAAAGAAGGTGGAGGAAGGATTACGAGTCGACTGGACCTTTCTCCATGAAGAGTCCTCCTGGATTGCTGCGGGTTTCAACAGCTATTTTCTGTCTGCGAGATTTCCCCAGCAGGGGCTACATCGATGTGACCTTCAGAAGTGTGAAGCAATGTGAGCGTCTCCTGAAGGTATTTGAGGAGAAAGAAGGTGAAGGTCCCCTGTCCGTCCTGTCTGCAGCACCATTGCTCATTCTCCTGCACTGGGAGCTGAGTTGTTACAATCCATATGTGACAACCCCCGCCACTGCCCCCCGTCCTGGCAGCAGATGTCCTGACCCCTCTGGGAAGGTACGTACAGCTTGAGGGAGGCAGCACCGATGTAATGGACCCCTTTGGAATCTGTACCAGCAAGCAGCAGGTCAGGGTGACCTTGAAGGTGGACCCTGGTGGGAACATCCTCCATTCGCCCTCCAGCTTTGCGATGGATGGGAGCCAAGGCTACCTGACATACATGGGGCAGCTTAGAGTGCGCCAAACCTGAGGGAGGTCTGACAGCGGACTGCATAGGGACCCTCTGCAGGAACTGCAAACAGGCAGGGCACCTGACTAAGGACTGCAAGGAGTCTATGAGCCTCAACTTGTGTGGGGAAGCGGGCCACCTGTACAAGGCCTGGCCAAGATGGAGGTTGTCACATACGTTCAGATGGCCAGGAGTGGTAACATGAGCTGTGGCACACCCCCACCCCCAAAAAAAAAGACTGTAAAGTGTCACCCTTCAGCAAGAAAACTGATGACAAGGGACAGGCCAGAAAGGAGGAAAAGGTAGCCAGCATAGAGGCATTGCTACTGAATTAACCTCCACCTGAACAGATGGAGTCAGTGGAGGAGGAGGAAACGAAGGAGGTGAGTGGATACTGGTGAGAAACAACCACAAAAGGAAAACACATTGGGCCCCCACAGAAAAATGAAAAAAAAAAACAGCTGCATGATGGAGACACCAGCAGCTCCTCCGACATTGAAGATGTGCAGAGCGACAGCCACCAACAAAAAAAGAGACACACAGTACCACGGGGGAGAAGGAGGAGGGCACCCACCAACCCGGAAACACTGGATGTTGCAAGGGACCTGATGAAACCCAACCTGCAGCCATCAGGCATCAAGGGGTACCCACTGCAGATCCGAATCAGTGTCAGACTCCATGCACCACCCCGCCCCCCCACCCCCACCCCCAAGAGGAACAGATGGACCACCTCAGTGCGGAGAGTGTCCAACAGTTTGCCCACATCAAGGGGATGCAGACAGTCCCCTAGTGATAAGACCATGGGTGAATCGACATTGGGTCTACAGGTAATCCTATAAGTTCTTTAAAATGGGTTTTAAAATTGCCAGTATTAATGTGCATAGTGTTAAATCCACTACGTGATGTATTTCCACATTGGCCTGCCAGGCCAACATTAAGGTGGACCCCATGTTTCTGCAGGAGTGTGGGATACCACACCTCAACAACCATGGAAATGGTTGAGCCGGACCCACGGGCCTTGAATTTGGTCAGGGGGAAATGATAGCCGTTCCTCCGGCCTGGGTATTCTGCTGTGAGGACAACTTCACCATTTCAGGTTAAGCTGGCAGTTGGCGGTTGCCTCCTTGTACCAGACATTATGTACAAAAATGTTCCCCTGTGACGAATTCATGTGTATGCCCCACTGCTGCTGGCAACGCCCAGGTGTTCATTCTGGCGGAAAACTACAACTGTATCACCGATGCCGATGGACAGTCTGGGTGTGGGGGTGCTGTCAGCAAACCGGACACCACGTTCAGATTCCTGTTGGAAAGGGTTAAAATCATCAAGTTGCGCGATGTCTTCAGCACCCCTGCAGATGGAGCACAGTGTAGACCCATCTGGTCGTGAACAGGTGTATCTATCGTTCAAGGGTAGACTGTTTGTGTCCCACATGTTCTCCATCTGATCCACCAACATCAAGCCAGTGCTCTTCTGTGACCACTGTCTCCTGCTTGGCTGACTGTCACCCACAGGACAACCAGTGGACTGGCAATGGAACGTGGAAGCTGAATGTGAAAATATTGACCCTGCAAAACATTAAGGAACTCCGAAGGGACTACACAGGTTGGAGAACCATGAAACTCCTCTTTAAATTGCCACTGGACTGGTGGGAAACTGTCAAGGGGAATATCAAGAGGTTCTTTATCCTTCAAAGGTGTTCAGAAGGCAAGAGAGAGAAATGAGGAAACTGTCCAAACTCCAGAAAAGTATGCAGAACCTACTCCTGTTGCAGATGATAGGGGTCAAGGTCACAGAGGACCTCCAGGATGTGAAGAGCCAGCAAACCTTGCTCTTTGTCTCAGAAGCCTCCAAGATAGTCTTCTGGTCCAGAGTTTGCACTGTAGAGCACCGTGCTTGCGTTCCTTCTTCCAGAAGGTGCACCAGGAGAGCTCTGTGCCTAGTAGCCTGAAGGAAGAAGATGGCTCAGTAATGTCAGCTCAGTCTGACATCGTGAGGATCAGCAAATCCATTTAAGCCAGACTGTATGACATGAAGCCTATAGACAATGCAGTCTCGCAGTCATTCCTGTTCTCTATCATAGAGGTCCCAGATGATGGCTGGACCCACCATTATTTGTGGATGAGCTAACCAAGACCCTCAAGTCCTTAGAAAAGAAAAAAACTAGAGGAAGCAACGGTTTACTGGCCGAGTTGTATTCAGTTCTGTAGGGCTTGATTAGTCAGGACTTGCCAGTACAAGAGTATGTATTTGTCAGGTAGCATATGTGAATCCATGAGGAAAGGTGTCATCACTCTCAACTACAAGCAGAAGTGGGAGAGAGGAAATCAGAAATTTTACTGCTGAATGCAGATTACAAAATCCTGTCAACCGGATCAGGTTTGCTTTGGGATTGGTGATTCACCCAGTCCAAATCTGTGCTGTACTGGGCAGGACGATTTTGGAGAGCCTCGTGCTCCTCAGGAATACAATAGTCTAGGTGCAGGACAGGGCGTGGATGCCTACCTCCTCGGCCTGGACCAGAAGAAAGCCTTTGACAGGATATCAGACACCTACAAGTTGGATGTGCTTTCCAGAATGGGCTTTGGGGATGGAAGCCACAATTGGATCTGACTGCTGCTCTACACAACATCATCAGTGCAGTCTCAGTTAGTGGGTGGGAATAAGAAAGATTCCTGATCAGATCTGGAGGCAGGCAGGGCTGCCCACTCTGTCTTGCCTTGTTTGTGTGTTGTGTAGAGCCTTTTGCCAAGTCTATCAGGAAGGGTGCGAGCATGAGGGGGTGACTATTCTAGGCAGCAGAGGCCTGCAAGTCAAAGCCTCCTTGTACATGGATGGTGTCGCTGTTTTGTGCTGTGATCCACTGTCAGTGCACACACTCGTGAGCATTTGCAACCAGTTCAAACTGGCTTTGGGAGTCGGTATAAATCGAGGCAAGAGCAGGGCCATGTTATTGGGAAGTGGGCCCACTGATTCTTTTAACCCCTTCACCATTAGGGCAGGTTACTTGGAGGCGCAGGGGCCTGCGCAAAATCTTGGGAGAAGCGTATTGCCAAAGTGAGGCAGAAGCTGAGCTTTTGGGAGCGCTGCTCCCTCTCTATTGCACGTAAAAGCTTCGCCATTCAGTTGCCTTATTTAAATATTATTGGCAGGAAATCTGTTTTAATAATACAAAAATACAAACATGAAATACTTCTGACTTCAAATATTTTATAATATTTGCATCAAAATTTACTTTAAAATTTACACCAACCCATCCAACCATGTGCAGTGAGATGATTGTTCTTTTACTTGACCGTTGAAAAATTGTCTAGTTTTGGAATAAAGGCTCTGGTTTCACAATAAACTCAACCTTAGTATTATTATGACTGGTGATTGGTATAAGGCACTTTCTCTGTTGTACGTGGCGCAGGTCTGGCCCATTCCCTAACACTGCGCCATTACAGTCATTCGTGCCATCTACTACCTCATCTGAAGGACTGTGATGGACCGTGTCTGCATGTACAAAACGCAGGATAAGGGGGCGAAAAACATACCCAGTGGCACCGTCATCCCGATGGCAACCTTTGTGGGTGGCTGCCTCAAGCTGTGCGTAGACCCATAAAATGCAAACACTGTGCTTCAGTTCATATTGAGGTTCTACCCCTGGTGTTGCAAAGGATAGGACTGGCCTCATCGCCGTGTAATCAGACTGTTCCGTATCACCTGTCCTTTGTGGAAAAATTTGCAAAGAA